AACTAGGTTTTTTTCTTTCCGATACTGATTGAATGCTCTGATCTCACAACACTGCCCTCCTATTATAGACAAGGTGGTAAAATATAATGTCTGTCATCTGTTAAACTTGTTTGGTTATGCATCCACATTCTCTTCTTTGCTAGGCCTGGTCCAAGACCTGCAATCAGACCCTGTGCTCCCTTTCTGTTCATTGATGCCTGGTCTAGAGCAGCATTTTGCTTAGTTCTGTGTATGTTTTTTCCTACAGCTTTTTTTCAGTACTAGCTGCATGGAGTGCATTTCAGAGTATAACTACTTGTCCGCATATTTGGATATGAAAAAGTTTAGGCGTTCAAAACATTCAGGTGACTGCAGCTCGTCTATGACGAATATGGAGGTTTGGGGTTATTCTCTGAGTGGGCAAAAGTGGCAGAGAATACCAGAGGGGTGAAATGACTGAAATTCCCTGGGGCCAGAAATTTACATTAAAAAGAGGAGAGAACTAGAAACCCTCTACTCCTTGCTGCTGATTGACCTCTTCAGGCTCTCTGAGGTTGGAAATATTGCATGCCGGTATAACAAAAGTAAGGGAAACGTGTTAGGGAAGTCTAGAGCACATGATGTGTGGAAATGGCTGAGGGAAACTGGTTTGTTCAGCCTTCAGAAGAAAAGGTGAACAGGAGATCATATTGCTGTCTGCAACTTCCTAATGGGGAGGCAGAACCAGACTCTACTTTAAGGTAGGCAGGGATAGGAAAAGAAGCAACAACCACAATTTGCAATACAGGAGATGCCAGTTTGACACTGGGAAAGAAAATTTCACCGCAAGAATGGTTAAGCACTGGAAGAGGTTGCCCAGAGAAGTTGTGGAGTCTGCATCCTGGGAGATGCTCAACCTAGACTGGAAAGGGCCTTGAGCAACCTGATCAAATCTAACCCATTCTGAGTGAGAGATTGGCCCAGATGACTTTGTGAAATCCCTTCCAATGGAAATAGTTCTGTGAATCTATAGCTCTTACTCATTTGGTCTGTGAGGTATTGGGACTGACTGGGCACACTACTGTTTGGGCAGGTGAGGTCTAGGAGAAGGACAGTGTTTAGAAATACAATTTATTTAATTTATATAGGTTCCTTAAGGTTTTATTTGTCTGTGCTGTGTTTTTGAGAGGCTCTGTAAGCTGTCTTCCTTCTTTTCTTTTAGCTCGAGGATGTATGGTTTTCCTGTGTCTGCTATTAACACTATGTGCATCTGTGCACAGGTGCATCTGTGTTGAGCAATCTCAAATCTCAAAATTGAGCCTCAGTGCAACAGGAATTGTTAAAAGACTGAACTGGATGTCACTGGTGCACTCAGTGAGCACAGCCAGACACAGGCTTCAAAAGAGTGGCTTGCCACGTGGTGGTCTTGGAGGTAGAGTACAAATTAGGATATTTTATGTATTCTGTCCTAATTATATTCTTATGCTCAGAAAGATTAGAGAAAGAACAAACATGACTTTCTTTTAATAAGAGATTAATAAGGACATGGGGTAATGGACACCGCACTGCTTTCTTCAAACACACAACATGCTGTGATGCCTAATATTTATAAAAATGGGAGAAATGCTGAGATGTTCAGATTGGCATTTCAGTGCCTGTCTGATTTCAGTGTCTGTCTGAAATATAGGGTTCAATAATCCTATTATGTGTCTGGCACACTCCTTCTTTAGCAACATGCCTCCCATAACTGCTATAATAAGACAGAACAGCCAAAGTCTAATTCTGTGTGCCTTATCCTATAATTCAGCAAAGTTATATTGTCATCAGATGCAAGCTATTGTTTTCTTTCCTGCTGTGTAGTATCGATTTTTCTAACCTTTCTTAATGTTAGATTTGTTTGGCATTTTAACTTTCTTATCAAAGGTTAATATTATTAAGTTGAGCAGGTATCTATAAAACAACAAGCGTTATTGCCTATCTTGCAATTGTTATACTGTCCTGTCATTAAACCCTGGCTGCATTGGAAAGCTCTGTCTTGAAGATTTTTGTCATTTGGGAATAATATGGTGACGATTGACAAGAACTGCATTTGAATTGTCGTCCATAGCTGAAGTATAAAATATTGGATTTGATATGTCAGGAGCAACAGATTTACCTAAAACTCTCTTACCATCAGTGAACATGAACTGCACAAACACTAATTCCAGAGAGTCTGTATGGAGGATACAAGAAGATGAGTGCTGCTGCCTGTCCTCTTCCCTAGTATGGTCTGACCATGCCAGTCTCTTTGCCATTGTGGCAAAAGGAGCAATTCTAAAATCTCTGTCAATTTCAGAACTGGTTATCTGCTTGATGTGGAAAGAGAATGAGAAACCTCAATTTAATTTGAAGGAAGTGGTGGCTTTAATGGTGGCACTCCATCAACGTGAACTACAGTGGTACTTGTATAAAGTGTCAAAGGTGCAGACAGTGAATAAATAGTTTCAGGATACCACTGTTAAATCAGGTTTCATTTTGCTGCTGCCACAGTACCCTCTTGATATCAGCATCATGGGGACAGTAACCTGCCTTTAATGAATTGTGCATTTGATACCCCATTTACACATTCAGATTAGATTTCTGTGACGTGTATTTGAGGCCTTTTATTGTCAATATATGCAAAAGACAGTCGCAGGGCTGAACATAGGATGTCTGTGTGGTACATCACAGCTTTCTTCTGGAGCTGCAGTAAATGACCTATGGTGCTCTCCAGCCACCATGCTGACGTTATCTTGCCTTTGTATTACCTTGTAGTTGCTCTGAAGTATTTTTCTTACCAAAGAACATCCTGAGAAGCTAGGCAAAAGTTAACTTCAAGTGAAATGTTTTTAATAGTAGAAAACATAAAATAATGAATAATAAAATAATTTAAGCTGTTGTAGATCGTCACTTAAAAAGAAACCCAGACAATTTGGTCTTTCCTGGGTGGAAAGCAGAATTGTAGCCTACCTGCAGCTGCCAAAACCTGACTGTCCAAGGAGGAGATCAGTGACTGCAGGAGGGAGCATTTCGAAGTGCTGGGGGTAGAGTGGAGGTTAAATCTTCTATTTATAAATCGGTACCTATAGACCACTTACTTCTGCCACTGCTGTGAAGCCAAGGGATGGCCCTGGTGAAAGATAAAAGACCTTTCTCTGTTGCTAGTTTAAGAGATGGTAACTCAGGTTCTGTGTCTTTCACACTCAGCAGTAGCCATCCCTGCCATTGATTTAGTCTTCATCTGTCACGTTCTCGTGCTGTTCAAAGGCTGATTGTGAAAGACTGGGGAGGTTCTGTCTGTTCACAGTTTCGCACAGCTTGGTCTCTCTTGCCGCTATCAGTGCAGATAACGAGATCATCTAAGAGCACCCTGTTCTTAATGAATGAGACATCTTTTCATTTAGAGTGGCTTTGATTAGCAAATTCCCTTCAGTAGTTTTCAGATCCAGCTATGAGCTTTCTGGATGTGCCTGAACATCCCTATACCTTTCGTGGGCTCCCTTGGTGTCTCTGGCTGGCGTTGCACAACTCACATGTTCATTACAGGCTCCAGATGGCTTGTGTCCCTTCTCCCCCTGCCAATTTTATGTTTTGGCCGTTCCTGGTGAAGAGTGGAGATATGGCAGCTCTTCAGATTGTTTGAGGCTTAGCACTGAGTCCAGGCTCCAGCTGCATTTTTATCTAGCCTCTTTTGTGGTGGCAGCAGCATTGCTTCTGCAAGGGAGGTCTTTGATTACATGAGATGTTGCAGCTATATGATGCTTCACTCCGGCAGGCCTGTTATAACTACTTGAAAAGGTATTTGGAGCAATATCAGGTATCAGAAAGGCTACCGCTTTTGTCCAGATTACCTTTCAGAAGTTTTTGAGGAGTGAGGAGGAGAGGTATAATAAAAATGCTGTTATCTCCTTCCTTATCTCTTCCACTTCATCCAAATCCCCTACTGCATGATGGTTTTGTTTGGTTTTACATGCAATTCTGGCTGGGTAGGAAAGCATTTCAGTGAGAGTGTATGTCCTCCTATTGGAGGCTCATTATTTCATTGCATGTAATCCACTAAACTCCATCCACGCACCGAACTGGGAAACTTTTGTCTTCTCTACCTTTATTTTTACCACTAAGATAAAGGCAACTTTAACTTTTCAGGTTTTTTTCTGATGTACAAAGTAACATACTTTGTACACACAGGCACACATACAAAGATTCTGTAGTCTAAATGCTTTTATCAGTTGTTATTGTGTATAGCAGAAACAAAATCTGGCACATAGAGAAAGCTAGGAGGCTTTTAAGGGGACCTTGAAGTGGTAGGAGAGGGAACCTCTAAATCCGGTGTGCATGGTTCTTATTTTAATTTACGATTCTGTATTGGGTATTTTGTATCCTTGAAACCTCTTTGAACAGTGGTTTACGTGGTAGATATACTCCACTTTGCCTTACTCAGCTTTTTATCAGAGATTAAGAAATCCAAACTCCTGCTTTTCTCCACTTGAACATACTCTCATCCATATTACCCCCTCTTTAAGAAAATTGTTTTTGGATCACTGCAAATTAACTAGTACAACTGCACTGGTTCAGGGAAGCCTAAACACTTTTGTATGCTTACACTTATACATCTTGGCGTATATGTAGCAGAAACATAGTAACTAGCACCAGAAAGGACAGTCCTTTTCCTGGAACCTGATCCTGGAAGGTGCTGATCACCCAGGGCTTACTACACCAGAACTAGTCCATCCAGCAAAGCATCATAGAACGTGCTTATTCAAACTCACAAATGTATCCAATGGGTTTTGCACATCTACTTCTAGGCCTATTGAACCTCTGTTTCATAGTAGTTAGTTCAGCTGGGACCTAAGGTCTTTGGGCTCTGTAAGGGTAATAATCTTTTACTTAATTCTGCATTTCCATGCAGAGACTTTAAGAGTTGTTGACTGCAGTTAATTTCACCAAAGACAACATTAGTTCTCAAAATTGAAACATGACTAACATTCTTTTTTTTCCTCTCCCTTTTGCTGCCTCTTCACTAGGGATGTGAGTTAATAGAGACCATGGATCAGGACCTCACAGATTTCACCAAGTGCCTCCAGATACTCCAGAAAAAGATAGAGAAGAAGGGCCTCCAGGTAAAGGCGACACATCTTTTGTCTTTGATACCTAGGAATCACTCTTCCTTTCAATGCATTTAGGTTTATGTTTTAAGTTTGTCCTGAAATGAAACAGTATTTTCTGTAGCCTTATCATTCTGCGGTTTTACCATAATTTACTGCACACCTTGTAAGCATTGATGCTTCTGCTAAAAGGAATTATACAATATGTCAATGAACAAGCGTTAGCTTTCTTAAAAGGCAGCTTGTATTGATTTCTGTTAATGAACTACCCAAAGCGCAGAAGAGCTGTTGTGGCTGGTGTTCAAAGCAAGAGTTCCACTTTGGCATGTAAATATATTTTCAAATCTTGGTACACTGAGCCTTGATCCTTGATGTTCAGCTCCTTCCTCTCCCCTCCCAAAGGTGAGATGGGAGGGAGAATCTTATCCTGCCAACATTGCATATGGTAAGCAATACCTCCTTCTGCAAAAGGGAACCTTTGCAGAGTGAGCAGTGCGCTAAACTTAAAAGGAGCCATATGGAGTTGTCAGCTGCTCGTTTCGTTGGAAAGGCAAAGGAGGCAACATCCCTCCTCCCCTTCCACAGTTTGTTTTTGAAGGTCTGCTTGTTTCATCTCTGAGACGTGAGGTTACAATTCCTTGGGAATTTCCAACATGATGAGTCAATGGCAGATGTGCTCTTGGGATTGCTGCCCTTTCCTCCCTATGGAGCAGCTGTTCGTAAGGGCTGAGCTCTCTTCCACTCAGTTCCTACAGGTAAAACGAATTGAGAGGAAACGGCTGCTGCATCCTCTTGCCACCAGTGAGGGCAAGAGTCACATAAGAAAATGAAAACAACAGCGTAAGATGGAAGGAGATGTGTAAACCTCCTCTTTTCCTATTTTCAGTGTAGCAAGATAGGAAAGTTGTCTGACTTCCTGAGATCACTGTACTCCAACAAAGCACCAAGAGATAGAAATGCCAATGCCCCTCCCTCTCTCTTCTCTCCTCACTCCAGGCTAATAAATAATTAACCAGTTTTTGCTTAAGCTGTTTTGAATGTCTTGATCTTCTAAAGGAAATAGATGTCCATGGGACATTTGAGAATGCTGTCACACAGTGCCCATCTGCAATTCCGTCTCCTCAATACATACCATTGTTCATCAGGTTTTTTTCCCCCATCAGTATAGACAGAGATGGGAAGGTTTCTCCATACACTTCTCTGTCTGACTGTGAGCCAGGAAACTCTTTATATGATAGTTTGGGGGTTTTTTCCCCTATAATTTATCACCACAAGAGCACAGAGGGGTATCTTGCCATCTAGGACATGAATGATAATGAGTGCTGTCAGAAGAGATGAGCCACCTATGCTTAGGATTTGTTGTGACTTTGACAAGTAAGGTGCTTCCCTCTTAACAGAATTACACTTAGAAGGGAGAAGAACTGGAGTGTTTCTTGGATTTGGTTCATTATCAAATCCCAGCTATTGCTATAGAGGGATTTTTTTTTAAGCTATCATGAGAGGTTTTGTAATGAATAATCAATGTGTGGTTAAAATAAGAGCAATGGGAACATGACAGCTACAAATGTGTTTCAACAATAAGTAGCCTATTTGTAAAACTATGAATTCTTTGATCACTCTCCTAGGCAGAGCCCTGTTAAGTTGGCTAAAGGTTACTGCATTGTAATCCTTGATGATATTTTGTAAAGTATAAACTGGAGTATAGTTGCAGTAATTGTGCAGAGCTCATGCCAGTGCACTAAACCTAAGATTTCAGTTCAGTTATATTTTTCATGGTGTTACATGTAAGATATCCTTTAAATACAATCTGATTTATTCAGAGGTGCAGGAAGTAACACAGATGTGTTTCCTAAAACTAAATACCATGTTCATTAAATTCTAGCTGCTTCTTGCTTGCAGTGTCTGTTCCATAAAACATCATAAGATGCTATCAGCTGATTCATGCACACTAGCTAAAGAATGCATTTCTATTTTTGGTCTTCTGCATTTTCTGACATAAGGAGTTTCAAGAAGTCCTTGATTCAAGTTAGGCAAATAATACAGGAAACTTCAGCAAATGGAACCCAAAACTGTATCACAACTGTATAAATCACTAGTCTGGGTTACAATTTGCCCTTTGTTCAGAAGCATTCAGTATACTTCGTTAGTAGGAGGCTGGTTATTCTTCTGGATGTCCTGATAATGCGGTGCTTAGCCTGATGGCTGGTACTCCAATAACACAGAGGTTCTGAGCACTTGCAACATATGCTGGCATCAGTTTATAGATGCAACCAATTGGCTCCCCTGAAACTCTAACCTGTTTAAATACCCACATTTTCACTTAATTTAGGTGTCTTTATGGGTAACATTCTGGCATAAAAATGTCAAGTGGTAAGAAAACAGACTGTTCAAGCCGTAAATCTAAAATGTTTGAGGAAAATACCAATTTCTTCAGGGAAGAAAGCTGCCATTGAATTCTGTGGTCGCCTGGGAAGGTACATACAGCTAAGAAGGGAAGGTCCAGGCTCTGAAAACTAGAAGTGGATAGAAAGGGATTCTTCATCTGCATTTGCATTTTCAGCCTGAAGTACAAATTTGCATGTCACAAAATGGGTTTTTTTCCTTCTGGGAAAAAAATACTATAAAAGTTTTCCTTTTAACTGAGAGCATTAACTAGGTGGAATATGTTTTCCTGGTTCCAGGAAAATTATGTATATCTCCAGCTTTGATTTTTACCCACTCTGACTGGCTTATCCAGAGCAGTTGTCAAAGAGGAATATGACAAAAAGACACTAAAAATCTGTTTTCCCCAAGTTGTATGGTTGGAATTACTAAACAAGGAAAGTATCTCTTTAGTATCTTAAAAAAAATGATACCACAGTTATGCTGTGTTTGCTGCTCTTTCTGAGTAGCAATATGTTAATCTAGGAAACTAATTACATTCAGTGTATACTGTGGATCCACAATCCTATGACATACTTTGTCTGGATGAAATTCAACTGTGAGGAGCTGTGGTATTTGAAACAGATGTTCCTCTGTTCTTTAGAGAATAAGTTATCATTTATCTTCTATACTCAATGGATAAAATTTCTACTCTGATCTATCAGTCACCTCTACAGAAGACCTATGTCAAGGAGGTTTTTGAGCTCATGTGGACATCTGGGGGCAATATTTTGTTCCGAAGGAATTAAGTTTGTGTAATTTACTTTCCATGTCTGCTGCACCTCCATCCTCCTCCTCTTCCTTCCTGCTCACCCAAATACTTTTGAACAAATGACTTTTGAACAGAACAAATTACTTTCCAATAGAGCAGTTATCATAAAATCATAGAATGATTTGGGTTGTAAAGGACCCTAAAGACCATCTAGTTCCAACTCCCTGCCATGGCAGAGACACCTTCCACTAGACCAGGTTGCTCCAAGCCCCATCCAGCCTGGCCTTGAACACTGCCAGGGAAGGGCAGCCACAGCTTCTCTGGACAATGTGGTCCAGTGTCTCACCACCCTCACAGTAAAGAATTTCTTCCTAATCTCTAAATGTCCCCTCTTTCAGCTTGAAACCATTTCCCCTCCTGTCACTACCCTCCCTAATCAAGGGTCCCTCCCCGATCAAGGGTCCCTCCCCACCTTTCCTGTAGGCCCCCTTTAAGTACTGGAAGGCTGCTAGAAGGTCTCCCCAGAGACTTCTCTTCTTCAGGCTCAGCCTGTCCTCACAGGGAAGGTGCTCCAGCCCCCTGATCACTTCTGTGGCCTCCTCTGGACCCACTTGAGCATGGCCATGTCTTTCTTGTGCTGGTGGCCTCAGAGCTGGACGCAGCACTGCAGGTGGGGTCTCACCAGAGCAGAGCGGCAGAATCCCCTCCCTCAACCTGCTGGCCACACTGCTCTTGATGCAGCCCAAGATGCAACTGGCTTTCTGGGCTGCGAGCGCCCTTTGCTGACTCATATTCGGTTTTTCATCCACCAGCACCCACAAGTCCTTCTCCGCAGGGCTGCTCTCCATCCACTCATCACCCAGCCTGTATCTGTGCTTGGGGTTGCCCCAACCCAGGTGCAAGACCTTACACTTGGCCTTGTTGAACTTCATGAGGTTCATGGCCTCTCTCCCCTCCAGCATGTTGGCTGCACCACACAGCTTAGTGTCATTGCAAACTTGCTAAGGGAGTGCTCTATCCCAGTCCATGTTGCTGACAAAGATGTTAAACAGCCCTGGTCCCAATACTGACCCTTGAGGAACACCACTCATCACTGGTTTCCACTTGGACATTGAGTCGTTGACCGTGACTCTTTAAGTGTGACCATCCAGCCAATTCCTGATCCACTGAGTGATCCAACTGTCAAATCCATGACTTCCCGGTTTAGAGACAAGGATGTTGTGCAGGACAGTGTTGAATGCTTTGCGGAAGTCCAGGTAGATGTCAGTTGCTCTTCCCTTATCCACCAATGCTGTAACCCCATTGTAGAAGGCCACTAAATTTGTCAGGCATGATTTGTCCTTAGTGAAGCCATGTTGGCTGTCACCAGTCATCTTCTTATTTTCTGTGTGCCCTAGCCTAGTTTCCAGGAGGATCCTCTCCATGATCTTACTGGGCACAGAGGTGAGACTGACTGGCCTGTAGTTCCCTGGTGGTTCTTCATTTTTCCCTGTATCGAAAGATAATCATGTCAAACAGCTTGCTTAGAGGTTACCTGAGTGGGAATGAAGGTGAAATAGACACTCAGTGAAAAGCTAGTTTAGATTTTACTGATTGTTTGAGAATTCCGTTTGAGAAGAGGCCTTAGAAATGCCTTTACTACAATGAAAGATGCAATTGGAGATGACAGTCAACTGAGACACAACTCTAGGAGAAGAAACACCTTGTTAGTTTTTGACCTTTTTGTTTGATATAAACAGCAGTAATTCTGTCTTCTAGAATAATTAGCCAAATTCATAACTTTTTTCCATACGTCTCAAATAAAAACTCTTAGAATAATTTCTGAATCCTCAGCGTCATTCATGTCTGGTTTACATTGCATATTTTGGTTGTGTAGCCAAGT